TATTTTTAATATATTTTATTGATTTTTTTTTTTTACAGAGAGGAAGAGAGAGGGATAGGGAGTCAGAAACGTCGATGAGAGAGAAACATCGACCAGCCGCCTCCTGCACACCCCCCACCGGGGATGTGCCCGCAACCAAGGTCCATGCCCTTGACCGGAATCGAACCCGGGACCTTTCAGTCCGCAGACCGACGCTCTACCACTGAGCCAAACCGGTTTTGGCACTTTTTTAAAACGCCGCGGGACGCCTGGTCACCTTATTCAAGATCCCGCCAAGGACACCCCCTCCTGCTTCAGTTTCCTCTCCCCCAAATAAAATGAAATGGCACCACTTCCCTCGGGGCTGCTGCCCGCCGAGGGCTGGAAACCACTAGAACACGAGCCGGGCCCCTAAGCCGCCACCGAGTCCCGCCGCCCGAGGCGACGCGCCGTTCGCCGTAGACGCCGCAGGGGCAGCCCGTTCCCCTCAGGAAAGACCGACCCGCCCCGGCCCCCCGAGTCCTCAGCGGCCCCGGCCCCGCACCTCCTCACCTCGAGAGGGTGGTCCGTCGAGCTAACAGACGCGATGACTCCGGCCCGGGCGGAGCCGGACACCCGAATCCTCTCACACCGGCCCCCTCAGAGCCACTTCCGGTGCCGCGCGAACCTCGGAGTTTTCTCCACGCGGGGTCCGCCGCGCCAGCGCCGCGAACGGGCTTCCCAGAGGGCTTTGCTCGCCGGCCAGTCTGCGCCCGCCGAGAGGTTCCCGCGCTTCGCGAGTACAGACAGACGCGAAATCAGGCGGTGACTGGACTGAACAGTCCAGTTTTTATTCCGTCGAAGAACAATCTAACCCGCCTTCTGCTTTCTAGAAGAAGGGGAGGGTGGGGCTTTTGATGTTTTTTCACGGAGACAACCGGACGGTTGCCATAGAAACACGCTGAGGAAAACTGGCTTCTTGAAGAGACGCGCGCCGAGGCGGGAGAAATGTGAGGTCTGCTGATTGGCGGAGGCGCGCCTTGTAGTGTGGCCCATGCGCAGTAGAGCTAGGCAGCGTTCCAAAGAGGGTGAAGTAGGGGGTGGGCCGTCAGCGAATAATTCCACCCCCAGCTTCGAGTCAAAGGGCACGCTTTGCCGCGAAGGCCTATGGGAAATGTAGTTCGGGGGGAAGACACGGGCGGAGGGCTGGCGCGGGGCAAGCGGCGCCTGCGCGGGCGCAGGTCTGCCTCAGGGCGGAGAATGCGCGCGCAGCGCCTTCTTCCCCGGCGGAAGTTTTCGCGGGGCCACTGAGCAGGTGAGTCCGTGTCCCCCAGGTGAGTCAGGTATTTGGTCTCCACTCGGCTCATCAAGTCCAGAAATGAGAGGAAGGCGAGGCTTACTAAGCAGGGAGGAAAGTCTCCTGGTGCCCTGTGCCCGATTCGGTCGTGGTGCCTGTGACGTCAGCAAGACGCTTTGTGGGACGAGGGGGAGGGCCCGGGAGTGGGTTTCGGGGTGAGAGAAGTTTTTGGTGGCGGGGATATTTGGTCACTACCACCGTCGGCTCTTCTTGGTGGGCGTGGCTACCACTGAGACGGGTGGAGCTAATGGAGTTTGACAGGCGCCTCCCCCCTCCCCTTCCCCACCCCCGCACTACGTCACCCCTGGATTCTGCTTAGGGCGGGGCCGAGGCCGGTCAAGGTCCAGAAACAACTGTCCCTCCTCCGCTAAGGTGGAGTCTCGCCTTTGGCTCCTGCTGGGCCACCTCTCAGAACCATTCGGGATTACACACAACATTTAACCCAGAGCAAAGGTTGAGTAAATATTGGCTGAATACATAAAATAAAGGAAGGAATGATAAAGACTAACTAGCCTGAGGGTTGGAGCCTTGGGTTTTATTTTTATCTTTATTTTTAATATATTTTTATTGACTTTTTACAGAGAGGAAGAGATAGGGATAGAGAGGAAGAGATAGGGATAGAGAAACATTGATGAGAGAGAATCATCCATCAGCTGCCTCCTGCACACTCTACTGTTTATGTGCCCGCAACCAAGACGCATTCCCTTGACCGGGATCAAAGCTGGGATCTTTCAGTCCACAGGCCGACGCTCTATCCACTGAGCCAAACCGGTTTCGGCGTGTAGCCTTGGGTTTTAATCGTCCTGAACTAGCCATGTGACCTTGGACAGGTTAACTTCAATGCTCTGAGATGCTTTTCTTCCGTCCGTATTTATTGAGCGTTTACCAAGGCCTGTCTCCATCTGACCTATTAAATTAGGGGTGGGGAACCTTTATTCTGCTAAGGGCCATTGGAATATTTATAACATCATTCGTGGGCCATACAAAATTATCAAGTTAAAAAAATTAGTCTGTTCTCTTTAGTCAAACATTTCATTAACTCACCCCGAATCCCTTGGAAGGGCCAGACCTTATTTATACAGCGCGCTGGCCAGATGTTTCCCACCTGGATTATTAAGTAATTACTTGCTCATTTGTTTATCTTGTCCTTCCCCACCCCAGAAGGTGAGCTTTGTCGAGTGCCGAGCTGTGTTTCCTTTGCTGCTGTATCCCCAGAGATTGGCGTTCTGTGAATGATTATTCAGTAAAAGAATGAAATTAGCACATGCTGGCTGCATAGCCGGTGCTCAATACACATGAGCCGTAATCTTTCCCTTACACTGAAGTGAGCCTGAGTCGGCCTATCTTTATTCACTTACAGAACACTATCACGATGGAGATTCCAGCCCAGTGCTTCTGAAGGCCAGACCGTGATCTCATAAAGGTACCATCCCCTCGGCACATGCCCCTTCAGCTCTGTTCCCACCAACATCCTGCAGCTGCTCTCTTTTGTGTAACTGCTGTCATATTTTAGTCCCAGGAGGACCGTTGTCGTGGGCATGACAGGGTCCCTGGGTTACACACTCTGCCCATCCTGGAGGGTCCAAAACTGTGAGAAACAAGTTTCTGTTGTTTATAAGCCACCCAGTCCATGATATCCTATCTAATAAAAGAGTAATATGCAAATTGACCATTACTCCAACACACAAGATGGCTGTCCCCATGTGGACACAAGATGGCCAGCAGGGGAGGGCATTTGGAAGGGACCAGGCCTGCAAGGGAGGGCAGTTGGTGGCTATCAAGCTTGCAGGGGAGAGCAGTTAGGGTTGACTAGGCTGGCAGAGGAGGAAAGTTGGGGGTGACTGGGCCTGCAGGGAAGGGCAGTTGAGGGGAACCCAGGCCTGCAAGAGAGGGCAGTTAGGGGCAAACAGGCTGGCAGGGGAGCATTCAGGCACCAATCAGGCTGGCAGTGGAGTGGTTAGGGGGTGATCAGGCTGGCAGGCAGAAGCAGTTAGGGGCAATCAGGAAGGCAGGCAGGTGAGCATTTGGGAGCCAGCAGTCCTGGATTGTGAGAGGGATGGCCAACTGCCTGTGTAGGCCTGATCTTACAGGGGTCCCCGATTGGAGAGGTTGCAGGCTGGACTGAGGGACACCCCTTTCCCGTGCATGAATTTCGTGCACCAGGCCTCCAGCGTTATTAAAGTAGCCCAGACAGACTGAGGCAGGACCCTAACCTAATATGACTGGGGTCCTTATGAGAAGATGAGAATAGGACACAGACAGAAGGGAGACCATGTGAGGACACAGTGAGAAGGCAGCCATCTGCCAGCCAAGGAGGGAGGCCTCCGAGGAAACCAGGCTGGTTGGTGCCCTGATCTCTGACATCTAGCCTCCAAAACTGTGTAGAAAATAAATTCCTGTTGTTTAAGTCACCCTGTCTGTGGTATTTATTTATGGCAGCCTTGGCAAATGAATACACCTGTCATATCTTCATTGGTGGTAGGCTCTATGTGCGAGTTTGGTTTTGATTTTTAAAGTACAGGAGATATTCCAGAGATACACAAGGCTTAGAGGAAAATGTCTGTACTGTCTCACTAAGTTAGGATAGGATAGGTTGGCCGAAACCGGTTTGGCTCAGTGGATAGAGCATCAGCCTGCAGACTGAAAGGTCCCAGGTTCGATTCCGATCAAGGGCATGTACATTGGTTGCGGGCACATCCAGTAGGGGCTGTGCAAGAGGCAGCTGGTCGATGTTTCTCTCTCATCGACGTTTCTAACGCTCTATCCCTCTCAATTCCTCTCTGTGTAAAATCAATAAAAAATATATTAAAAAAAAAAAAAAAGGATAGGATAGGTTGTGCTGCGGTAACATATAAACCCTGAGATCTTGGTGGCTCACTATAGCATTATTTGCTGATCTCGAGCTTCCAGCCCTCCTCCATCTTGTAGCTATATCCTTTGGAGTATGTGTCCTCCAGGGCCTTTCCTGCAGGGGAGGGGAAGCCCAAAGAAGTACTAAGGCTCTTAACTGCCTCAGCCAGAAAATGACTTCCACTTAGACTCGATTGGCTAGAACTAGTCATGTGGCCCCAATCTGACTGCAAGGTATCCTGGGAAGTATAGGAGGTCCGGTGAGTTTTTTGGTGAGCATCAGCTATCTCTCCCTCCGTGCTTCTGTGATTAGACCAGTGCTCCTATGTAATTTTTTTTTAAATTATATTTTTATTGACTTTTTACTGATTGGAAGGGAGAGAGATAGAGAGCTAGAAACGTCGATGAGAGAGAAACACCGACCAGCTGCCTCTTGCACACCCCGTACCGGGGATGTGCCCGCAACCAATGTACATGCCCCTGACTGGAATCGAACCTGGGACCTTTCAGTTCGCAGACTGACGGTTTATCCACTGAGCCAAACCGGTTTCGGTTCCTATGTAATTTTTATTGACTTCAAGACACTCTCCTATCTCTGCTGAGATCTGCAGTTTCTGCTTTGTCCTGTTTCCTCTTTGCCCTGGGCCCTTAGAGACAGATGGCTAGAGGCTAGACACAGTGGGCGGGAACTCATTTAAGGAGTGGCCACTTCCTGAGGATATCTTCTGTAATTGCTTTTCTTTCTTTTGCAATCTCATCCCCGTAAGGAACTTGGCAGTGGATTAAGTTTCTCTTTCACCTTCCCGTTCCCTCCCGCACTCTTGTGTTTTCTAGCATGAGCAACTTCTGTCCAGACTGTGGCAAAAGTCTCCAAGCAACGTTCAAATTCTGCCCTCACTGCGGAAAGGCTTTACCGACAGAGAACCCTGAGGGGTCCCAGACCTTTGTCAGACCGGTTTCGTCCATCTTCCTAGGTAAGGAAGGCTTCGAGCTTCTCTCCGGAGAGCGGGTGAGGGGCCTGTGTGCAGGCATGTGGGAGGGAGCGCTCTCTCTTCAGTCTGACCCTGCCTTGACCCTGGAGGAGCCCAGAGCCCCGGCTCTCTCTCTCTGCTCCATTTCTTGGCATCTTGGTCTCCTGGCTTAATAGTTGACAAGCCCGCCTCTCTGGCTCCAGCCTGGACTCCTCCACTGGAACCCAGATTCGTGCCTATCAGACTGTCTGCTTGCCCTCTCTTAGATGCTCTCGCACATCTGTGCACGCCCAGAACTGAGCTCCTGATGCGACTGCCCTCGATCCGCCCCTTCCATAGACTTCCCCATCGTGGTAAATGGCAACTGTGTGTCTGGTTTCTCAGAGCAGACCATGGAGTCCTCCTAAGTCCCCCCTCTCTCCCACCCACAATTTTAACCCTTTGGCAAATCTTGTCTGTTTAAAATCAGTGCCGGATCAGACCACTTCATTCCACCTCCTCTGCCACCACCCTGGCCCATCCCACCCTCACCTGTCACTAATGTTGTTGAAGAAACCTTCCCCTTTCTCTCTCCTCTACGGTCTTCTACGTGGCAGCCTGACAGATCCCTTTAAAACAGAGTCAAACCCTGTCCTTCCTCTCCTCAGCACCTTCCCAGTTAGGCCTGACATGGTCAGGTCCCCATAGTCTCCCAGCTCCTCTCCATACCCTCTTGTTGTTGCTTATGCATCTCCAGCCACCTGGGCCTCTTCCCTCTCCCTCCACACCTCAGGCATGCCTGGGCCGCTGAGCCATTGCACTTGCTGTTCCCTCTGTCCTTTCCACTCTCCCCCTGACATGTCTAATTAAAATCACACCTACTCGCTCTGGCCAGTTTGGCTCACTGGATAGAGCATCGGCTTGTGGACTGAAGGGTCCCGGGTTAGATTCTGGTCAAGGGCACATGACTGGGTTGTGGGTTCAATCCCCAGTGGGAGGTGTGCAGGAGGCAGCTGATCAATGATTCTAACTCATTATTGGTGTTTCTATTTCTCTCTCCCCCTTTCTTCCTCTCTGAAATAAAATATATATATTAAAAATAAGAAAACGAATTAAAAAAATTGGTTTAAAAAAAAATCACACCGCTGAAACCAGTTTGGCTCAGTGGATAGAGTGTCAGCCTGCGTATTGAAAGGTCCTGGGTTTGATTCCGGTCTAGGGCATGTACCTTGGTTGTTGGCACATCCCCAGTAGGGGATGTGCAGGAGGCAGCTGATCGATGATTATCTCTCATCGATGTTTCTAACTCTCTATCCCTCTCTCTTCCTCTCTGTAAAAAATCACACCACCTCTGTCTAGCTAGTGTGGCTCAGAGGCACATGCCTGGTCAAGGGCACATGCCCAGATTTCGGGCTCCATCCCCAGTGTGGGGCCTGCAGGAGACAGCCGGTTAGTGATTATTTCTCATCATTGATGTTTCTATCTCCCTCTTTTTCCCTCTCTGAAATCAATGAAAATATATTTAAAAATCAAATAAAATCACACCTTCCCTATACATAACACTCCCAAACCCCTTACCCTGCTTTATATTGCCTTTTGGTACTTTAAGTATCAACCCAGTTGAGTACAGTATTTTACTTATTTCTATTGCTTCTCATCTTTACGCTTTATAAGGGGAGGAATTCATTGTGGTTTGTAGGCTGTGTTTACTGTGGTTTGTCTGTATAGCGCTCGGGACCATTCCTGGCACAATCTTATTGATTGGCTGATTCAATAAATGACTCATGGGTCAGCTAGGGTCCTGGCCAGGGGAAAGTCCAGGCACAGATCCTGGTGAATTGAGATGTATTTACTTATCGGAAAGCCACCGAAAGGAGTTGGCAGACATGGTAGAAAGTTCAGCAGCATTCATTTTATCATTTGGGATTGTGTTTGGCGGTCAGTATCGGAAAATGCTACTTCAAGACTAGGAACAAATGAATGGATTTATTTATTTATTTATTTTTATTAAAATAAGTCTGGCCTGGCCAGTATGTCTCAATCCTTTTTTTTTTTTTTTTTTCTTTTTTAAAAATATATTTTATTGACTTTTTTACAGAGAGGAAGGGAGAGGGATAGAGAGTTAGAAACATCAATGAAAGAGAAACATGGATCAGCTGCCTCCTGCACACCTCCTACTGGGGATGTGCCCACAACCAAGGTACATGCCCTTGACCGGAATCGAACCTGGGATATTTCAGTCCCCAGGCCAACACTCTATCCGCTGAGTCAAACGGGTTTCAGCCTACTTTATTTTTTATATATATTTTTTCACTGATTTCAGAGAGGAAAGAGAGGGAAAGAGAGCTAGAAACATCAGTGTTGAGAGAGAATCAGTGATTGGCTGCCTCCTACATGCCCCCCATCCCCACTGGGTTCATAGGTTGACACTCAACCACTGAGCCATGCTGGCCGGGCAAGAATATCTCTTTTAAAACAATTGACTGCCCTGGCCAGTGTGGCTAAGTTGGTTGGAGCCTCATCCGGTACACCAAAAGGTCATAGGTTCAATTCCTGGTCAAGCCACATACTTACCTTGTGAGTTCGGTCCCCAGTTGGGGTATGTGCAAGACACAACCAATCAATGTTTCTCATATCGATGTTTCTCTCTCTTTTCCTCTCTCTAAAATTAATAAACACAGCCTCAGGTGAGGATTAAAAAACACACACAAGCTGAAACCGGTTTGGCTCAGTGGATAGAGCGTTAGCCTGCAGACTAAAGGTTTGATTCTGGTCAAGGGTATGTGCATTGGTTGCAGGCACATCCCCGGTGGGGGGCTTGCAGGAGGCAGCTGGTCGATGGTTCTCTCTCATCGATGTTTCTAACTCTTCTATCCCTCTCCCTTCCTCTCTGTAAAGTAATCAATAAAATATATTTACACACACACATACACACCCCTTCCAAAGAAGAAGCAAGACTTGGCTGTGAGGGTCAAAGGGCAGAGTGTGGTTGACTATGAACTTGAGTTTATGGTTTTATGTTTTTGTAAGGGCTTTTGTAACTTCTCGTTTGCATTCGGTCTTCCTCTCTCTAGGCTCCAGCAAAGAGAAGAACCCCAATTATGAACACGTTCCCAAGAAAGTGAAATGGTCCAGCTGTTGTAGCACGTCTTCGTCATCCTTCTTGTCAGACCACGAGAGTTCTGGGTCGGAAGATGCCTTGAAGGGCAAAGGTAAGAGTTAGGATCAGCTGAAACCGGTTTGGCTCAGGGGATAGAGCGTCGGTCTGCAGACTGAAAGGTCCCTGGTTCAATTCCGGTCAGGGGCATGTACCTTGGTTGCGAGCACATCCCGAGTGGGGGGTGTGCAAGAGGCAAGTGATCAATGTCTCTCTCATCGATGTTTCTGACTCTCTGTCCCTCTCTCTTCCTCTCTGTAAAAAAATCAATAAAATATATATTTTTAAAAACACACACAAAAAAAACAAAGACCTGACCCCTGAGAGGTTTCAGGAACCATTTTGTTGTTTTCTTTCTTCTTTTTTTTTTTTTTTTAAATATATTTTATTGATTTTTTACAGAGAGGAAGAGAGAGGGATAGAGAGTTAGAAACATCGATGAGAGAGAATCATCAATCAGTTGCCTCTTGCTCATCTCCTACCGGGGACGTGCCCACAACCAAGGTACATGCCCTTGACCGGAATCGAACCCGGGACCTTTCAGTCCACAGACCGACGCTCTATCCACTGAGCCAAACTGGTATTCGGCTTGTTGTTGTTTTTCATTTGAACAAATGAATAAATGAACAGAACTATGAGTATTGTCTCATTATTCATTCAACTTTTCTCTCCCGGATGCCCCTTCTCCTTGATTCTGGCCACCCTGCCATAGGATGGACCAGTCCTCTGATCCCCAAAAGCAAGCCGCAGAAGAAAAGCCCCCAGACCCTGAAGCGGCGCCATATGACCACCTCCCTGGAGGCTTTGCCCCGGGGGACAGTGATGACGGACAAGAATGGACGATACTGGAGGCTGGCATCCTTGCAGACCAGGGACGACCAGGGCATTATCTATGAAGGTACACCCTGTGTACAAGCGGGCAGGCGCTGGAACCAGGGCAAAGGGAGGGGGGACCCCTTTCTGAGAATGAAAATGGAAGCCATATCCCAGCTGCACACCTGCCTCTAGGCCAAATTCTCTTAGACCAGTAGTCGGCAAACTGTGGCTGGCGAGCCACATGCTGCTCCTTGGCCCCTTGAGCGTGGCCCTTCCACAAAATACCACGGCCTGGGCGAGTCTATGTTGAAGAAGTGGCGTTAGAAGAAGCTTAAGTTTAAAAAATGTGGCTCTCCAAAGAAATTTCAATCGTTGTCCTGTGGATATTTGGCTCTGTTGTCTAATGAGTTTGCCGACCTCTGGGTTAGTAAATGCCAGACCCTCCCGAAATCCAGCGAGGCTTTTCCAAGGAGAACAGTCTCAGACCTGCTGTGTTCATAACCTTTCCGTAGCTGGATGTTCCCAGAGAGAGAAAGAGGCAGAGAAAAGGAAGCTGTCTGCAAACACGGAGGAGCAGGTCTCGGAAACCGAGAGTGCCCCGGGCCCTGTGGGAACCAGGGAATCAGGACGGCTGCTCCTTACTGGGAAGTTTGAGGACGCGTCGCTCACTTTCCCTGTAGACCAAGCATGTCAGACGCACGGCAGGCGGGCCGCATGCAGGCGGCGAGTCTGACGTGCTTGCTGTAGGTCATAACCTTGCCCGTTTTGTCCGTCCACAGCTGAGCCTATCCCTGCCTGGGAGTCGAGTGGCCAGAAACGATTCTCGCTGAAACTAGTGAGTGGGCCTGGGGGGTGCCTGGGCCACGGAAGGAAGCGCTGAGGGAGGGTCTGGGGCTTTGGCAAGGGTACCCTGGGCCTCCAAGCCTTTCTGTGGGCTGGGGCAGGCAGGAGAGCCTGGGGCAGTGGGACCTGGGCCAGGCCTCAGGTTCCTCATCTCCCAGGGCGCTCAGAGGCCCTGCCTCTCACACGTCCCAGCTCTGCGATCTGAGCATGCGCCTCCCTCTTTGAGATGACTCTCGTCACCTGTAAGGTGATGCCGGTAACAGCACACACCTCAGGTGGCCCATCTGCCCACCACTGCTTGCTTCACAGCTATATGTATTTTTTAACTATATTTTATTGATTTTTTTACAGAGAGGAAGGGAGAGGGATAGAGAGTCAGAAACATCGATGAGAGAGAAACATCGATCAGCTGCCTCCTGCACACCTCCTACTGGGGAATGTGCCTGCAGCCAAGGTACATGTCCATGACCGGAATCGAACCTGGGACCTTTCAGTCTGCAGGCCGACGCTCTAGCCACTGAGCCAACCAGTCAGGGCTTCACAGCTGTATTTATTGAGCACCAACTATAATATAAAACAGAAGTCTTCCTGGAGCCATACTGGCTAAGGCATGAGTGCTGGAATTGTGGGTGAAATTTTATTTCTTCCGATTTTCTCACCCACTCTCACCACCCTGGGACCCTGGGACAGCTGGGTTGGGTCCCCCTCCTGGCCCTAGACGGACAGAGGCCATGTGAGTGGTTTAGAGCGAGGGCTCCGGAGCCAGGCTCACAGAGAAGTAACAGCGCCTGCATGTTGAGAGCCTGTTCCGGGCCCGACTCTGGGCCGAGCGTTTCCAAGCAAGCCTGTGGGGTAGTGACCTCGTTCCCCAGGGAGTCCCGCATTCAAGTTTCTTGGCTCACAGCTGTATCTCCAGCGCCCAGAGCAATCCTCAGCACATAGTAGGTACTTTGTAGAAAGAGTGAATGAATGACATCTGGGATCTGAAACGACTTCTCTTTGACCCTCTGCTCTTATGAAGCCAGCTGTACTCGTATTTAATTCATTTATGTGGTTTTACTGCTGGGGGAAATGACCCAGTATTAACAATGGCCTGAGCAAAAATACTATTTTATTTCTCTTTCACATAGAAGCCTGGGACAGTGGTCCAGGGCTGATATGGTGGTTCCGTAACCGAGGGGTCCAATTTCCTTCTCTCTTGTTGCTCCAACATCCTCAGCCCATGACCTTCATCTGTGGGCTGACATGGCTGCTCCCACTCCCACGGCCTGTGCAGTCCAGCCAACAGGAGCAGAGGAGGAAGGGGGAGCCTGCCTCGCCCATTAAGGGCATAACCTGGGGGCTGCACACATCTCCTTGGCTCACATCCCCGATGGCCAGAACGTGTCACGTGGTCATTCCTCACTTCAAGGGAGACTCGGGAATCTAGCTTCTAGCGGAAGGCCACATGTTTAGGGAAAACTTGTAGGTCCCATCATAAAAGAAAGGAAAGGAGCTGAAACCGGCTTGGCTCAGTGGATAGAGCGTCGGCCTGCGGACTGAAGGGTCCCAGGTTCGATTCCGGTCAAGGGCATGTACCTTGGTTGCGGGCACATCCCCAGTAGGGGGTGTGCAAGAGGCAGCTGATAGATGATTCTCTCTCATCGATGTTTCTAACTCTCTATCCCTCTCTTTTCCTCTCTGTAAAATACCAATAAAATATATATATTTTAAATTTAAAAAAAAAGAAAGGAAAGGAAAGGAGCCTGGGCACTGGGAGGTAACTCGAAGTCTCTGATACGGGGTCTCGTGTAGCAGCCTGAGGAATTTGGTTCCGATCTGCAGGACTTGATGGGGAACCTGAGTTGTTGCTGGCATTACCCTGGGGCAGTGGTTGGCAAACTGCGCCTCACGAGCCCCATGTGGCTCTTTGGCCCCTTGAATTTTTAGCAAAGGGCCAGCTTAGGAGTACCCTAATTAAGTTAATAACAAGGTTCCTACCTATATAGTTTAAGTTTAAAAATTTGGCTCTCTAAAGAAATTTCAATCGTTGTCCTGTTGATATTTGGCTCTGGTGACTAATGAGTTTGCTAACCACTGGCCTGGGGTAACACTTGGGCAGCAGTGATCTGGGGTCCCTCGTCGAAGAGATTCCAGTGTGACAGCCTCCTCCCCTTATCCCCCCCACTAGGATGCCAAGGATGGGCGCTTGTTCAATGAGCAGAACTTCTTCCAGCGGGCCGCCAAGATTTCACAAGGTGCTCGGCAGGAATGGTGGGCGGGGGGCAGACGTGGAGGTACCAGCTTGGTCAGAGCACCTGGCTTCTCCCTGAAGGTGTGGGGAGGGTGAGGGTTAGAAGGCCCTGTCACCCCTCAGTCTTCAGGCCTCACAGGGCCGACAGCACGGGCGGAGGCCAGCTCATGCCAGCTCTTGAGAGCCAGTTGTTCAAATCTCAAAATGAGCTCAAGCCAGTTGTTAAACATGGCCATTATTTAAATTAATTACATCATAGCAATACAACAAGTTAGGCTAAGAAGAAGGGTAATAAATACTCAAAACTCATCACTTCATAATTATTCGTCTGTTTCTGTAATCTACACCCTTGAGATGGCTTATGTCCTTGTACCTGGACGGTGGGAACAATACATTACCAGTGTGCTGCTACAAATCCCTTCCCATCTCCACGTTCTGTGACGTCATGTCGGTAGCTTGAAATTGACCTTGGTGGGAGTATTTACACCATAGAAGCTGGCAAACACTACAAATCAGGGCTCTTTCTCCCTGGACAGCCAGCTGTTAAACTGTTACCAGCACCCACTGCCTCTGTACCAACCCATGGAGATCCCGGAAGACGGGCTAACGTCTAGCAGCACCATGACCGGTTTAGTCATTTCCCGATCTTATGAGCTATACGTGTGAATTCAGAAGTTCTCCCCTTCTTATCCCGCCCACTCACTCCAGATTTGTATATTCTTTCCCCATGTTTACCCCTTGTCACCTGCAGACATAGATGAGATTTCAGGGGTCACCAGGCCCACCCTGTGAGCACCCCCACTGTCACCCACCCATAGAGGTGGCGTGTCCGACCAGGAGACTCAGGGTCTGGCCTAGGCACAGATTCTTTGCTTCCGGTCTGAGAATGGGCTCTTGTCCCCAAGGGCCTGGGCCCAGGTGGGCTCTAACCTCTCAGGTCCCTGCTCCCCACAGTGAACAAGTGGAAGAAGATGTCCTCAACCCCCTTACTGGCCATCCCCACCTGTTTTGGTTTCGGCGTTCACGAGGACAGGTACAGGTGAGTCGCCTAACTCGCCACCCCCCCCCCCCCCCACTGGCCCTTTCCTTTCTCTCCCTGTCATGCGCTGGGAGGTGGCTGGGGCTAGTTGCTTCCTTCCTTTCTCCTGCTTTGAGCCAGGCGATCCCCCACCCATCAAAACCCTTGATCTTGCCTGGGACCAGCTGGCCACCCAGCACAATCCTCCCCCCTCCCCCCCCAGTGTCCTTTGTTCTGCTCGCTCTCCTGTCATCTCTTCACCTGGGATGCCTCTGTCTTCCAGGTTCTTGGTGCTCCCCCTGCTGGGGAGGAGCCTGCAGTTAACCCTGGATGACAACCCGAAGCACATAATGTCCATGCAGTCCGTGTTCCAGATCGCCTGCCGGCTGGTATGTATCCAGGGATGGCCCCCGGTGCTGGTTGGTCAGGCTGTTCCTTGGCATGTTGCACCCGGCCGCCCTCTGCTGGACACGGAGGACAAGCACACTGACCGGTGACCCCCCCAGGCCATTAGCACCAGCGGGATAAGCATCACCCCCAGGGGCGTTCAGGGGCTGTGGCTGTTGAGGAAGGGCCCCAGCCTCACTTTGAGGCGATCGGATGGAGGTTTGGGCTCCTGGATGGAGGTCCTTTCTAAGCCAAGAGCGGGAAATAGCAAGGGGCCGCGGAGAGAGGGAGTGGACGTGCATGAAGCTATTCCAGGCCGTGGGTACAGCGTGGGCAGAGGCCTGTGTGGGTGAGAACAAACAGCATTGGTTTATTCATTCTTTGCTTCATCCGTCCTTTCCTTGAATATTTATAAGGTCCCTGCGGGGTATCAGACACTGTCCCAGGGGCTGGGAGCACAGCAGGGAGGAGCACAGACATGGTTTTTAGGTCTGGTCGGAGAGGATTATATTAAACGGTTATACAAATTGTGAAAAGGTCTCTGGATAGAAATGTCCCCCTGCTGCTGAAACCGGTTTGGCTCAGTGGTAGGGTGTCGGTCTGCGTACTGAAGGGTCCCAGGTTCGATTCCGGTCAGGGGCATGTACATTGGTTGTGGGCACATCCCCGGTAGTGGGTGTGCAATAGGCAGCTGGTCGATGTTCCTCTCTCATTGACGTTTCTAGCTCTCTAGCTCTCTCCCTTCCTCTCTATAAAAAATCAATAAAATATATATATATATATATATATATATATATATATATATATATATATATATATTTTAAAAATGTCCCCTGCTGTGATGGCGAGTAAGAGGAACCAATTTAAATCGGGGGAGGGATGAGAGTGGCAAGGGAGGAACATACTAGGTTGAGTCCCAGAGGTCTTTATGCTCAGTCTGCAGTGTGACATGGGGAGGGGGGGGATTGGTGTGGAGAGGTCAGCAGTGACCGGATCATGCGGGCTTTTGCATTACCAAGCTGAGGAGCTAGGACTCTGTCCTGAGGGCACTGGGGATCCATGGGGGGAGTGGGAGCAAGGGAGGGGCAGGGTCAGCTCTGGAGACAGAAGGACTCTGTGGGCTTTGTGGGGAGGGACTGGAGGGGTGCGGAGGCCAAATGAGACAGGACGAGGCCTGAGGAGAGGGGCCAGGCTATGGGATAGAGAGTTTGTAGGACAGACAAAACTTGGTGGACAGTTAAGCCCTGGAGTAAAGGGGGATTGGAATGTAACTAACACTGAGGCAGTTCACTGTGAGCCTAGAGCTCAGTGAAGACGTTGGAGTTAGAGATAAAAATATAAATTGCTTAACTAACATATTTCTGCTCTCTAGGAGAAATGAGAACTCTTTGATATAAATGGGCACTGTGTGTGTGTGTGTGTGTGTGTGTGTGCGTGTGTAGGAAACAATAAGTAACCAACTTCTCTTTCTCCTGAGTTTGCAATCAACTAAGAAATAGATACAAGATATACATAGAAAACCAAGTGTTAGCTTTAATGCTGAAATTTTTTAAAAATATATATTTTATTGATTTTTTACAGAGAGGAAGAGAGAGGGACAGAGAGTTAGAAACATCAATGAGAGAGAATCATCCATCAGCTGCCTCTTGCACACCCCCCATCGGGGATGTGCCCACAACTAAGGTACATGCCCTTGACCGGAATCGAACCCGGGACCTTTCAGTCCTCAAGCCGACGCTCTATCCACTGAGCCAAACCGGTTTCAGCTTAATGTTGAAATTTTTGAAGCCTAATTAGAAGACCTGCTTAGGTGTGCTGTCAGAGTGGACTTCCTCATGCTTCCCCCAGAATCAGCCAGCTTAAACCTGCCCACAGTTTCAGCGGAAGCAGGCCATACGGCAGCAGGTCTCAGAGGGGATGCACGGGCTTTGCATCAGAGCCTCTTTGTGTTAGTTGTGCTACTCACAGAGATCACTTTGTTCTTCCTCCCCCAGCTGGATGCCCTGGAGTTCCTCCATGAGAACGAGTATGTTCACGGAAATGTGACAGCTAGGAATATCTTTGTGAATCCCCTGGACCGGAGCCAGGTAATAGCCAGGTCCTCCCCACACCAGGGCCTCTCTGGATTCAGGATCTCAGCTGTCTCAAAACTTCCATTTGTTTTACAATGCTCATGGCAGACAAAGAATTGCTACCCATCATATATAAAGAGCTTACCTGAATAAATAAGAAGAGATGAGCAACTCAGTAAAAAAGTGAATAATGAATAGGAAAAGCAGTTCATAGAAAAAGAAATCTACAATTTAGTTAAATGTATTTTTTAAATGTTCCAACCTCCCTAAAAATCATAGAAATGGAAATTAGAACATACTACTTTTTATTCTAGGGTAGACAAAAAATTAAAAAATGATAATATCTATGGTGATAAAAGGATAGAAAGAATTAATTCTTTATATTTTGTTGGAAGTATGAATTGGGATACCTCTTTGGAAGGTAATTTGGGTATAGTAGTCAACATTTTTTTTTTTTTTTTTTTTTTTTTTTTTTTTTTAGTAGTCAACATTTTAAATGCATATGTTTTTCTCTGCTGATTCCCTCACTCAGAGGCACCCGGCTGAGCCAGCCTCGGGCTGCCTCACCTGAGAAAAGCACAGCAGGGATGAGTGGGAAGAATATACCTGTAGATATGTACGTACCACAGTGCTGTACTTTTGTATGTAGCCATCATGTAAATAAATGTATGGATTTTATAATAAAGGCATAAAGGCATATTTTTTTTAGAAAAACAGTACACCGCCCTAACCGGTTTGGCTCAGTGGATAGAGCGTCGGCCTGCAGACTGAAGGGTCCCAGATTCGAATCCGGTCAAGGCCATGTACAGATTACACCCACGATTGAGATGTCTAATTCCAGAGTCCAACCTCCAAACTGTATGGCTTTTCTCCCCACGCCCACACAGGTGACCCTGGCAGGTTACGGCTTCGCCTTCCGCTACTCCCCAGGCGGCAAGCACGTGCCCTACAAGGAAGGCAGGAGGAGCCCACACGAGGGGGACCTGGAGTTCATTAGCCTGGACCTGCACAAGGGATGCGGTAAGAGGCCAGAGAGAGGGTTTAGGACTGTGGAGACATGCTTTTCATACGAGAGCAGCTCTGGGTTTTCACAGCCACAGACAGCAGATGACCAGACATGGGGTCGCCTAAGGGAGCCATGACAGGGATTCAGAATTAAGAACGGGTGGGGTCATTGGGGGGGAGGGGACATCTGTAATACTTTCAACAATAAAGATTTTTTAAAAAAAGAAAAGAATAGTGTCCCCGGGCATTAGAAAGTTGTGGGTAGTGGTTCAGCACCAAGGACAGAGGGCTGCTGGGCACCAGGAAGCCTGGCAGGTCAGGTCCTGAGGTTCCGATTCAGGATCTGGTGTGGACTTGGAACACGAGAATTGCTGCAGACTCAGGCAGGAGAGCTGTTGAGGGATCATTTGGCTATCCATGTCCAAAACGCCGGGCTGACCTCCAGACAGAGACTTGGGTGTGGACAGGATCTCAGGAGTTGTCAGCCGGAGCCCTGGGAGAGGAATGAGATTATGCATGGGAAGTGTACAGAGGGAACAGAGAGCCCAGGGCAGATTCCGTGAGCAGGTCTCAGCCCCTCTTTCCCAGATCCCATGATACCATGGCCATCCGTGGGCCAGCCTGCGTCCTCTCCACAGACTGGGCTCTGAGCTCACCCAGGGAAAGTCTGGCAAGGTCAGCTCTGTGTTTGTTGAGTGCTTACACAAGTTGTCTAAATCATGAGAAAAATAAAACCCAAGGGTCTCTGCTCCCCTGCTGAGGCTGTCTTCAGTGTTCGCCCTCCTAGCTCTCTCATGCCCTGTTCTGTGTCCTCTGTAACCCAGGTAATCCCACTCTAAAACCATCTCCCCCACTAGACTGAAGGGCTAGGACCCAACCAAACTCTCTCTAGAATTTGAGAAATTAGATGGGCCTGGCACACAGGCCTCTGTGGGCTCATTGAAGCATGAGTGCACGAATGAAAGAGAGTAGATGGGGAGTGAGCTAGTGAGTGCAGGATGAAGTGATGGCGAGAGCGTGAATGAGAGTAACAGGCTCATGAGCATGAGTAGGCTAACAATGAATGGTGCTGGAAGCCAATTCCAGCATGTTATAATTACAAGAGTTTTATCAAAAGGTTGATAAAACTTGTGGGCTCAACAAGGGCTGAGTCACATATGTAATTACCTGTTGGATCGGCTGGAAAGGCACTTTCCCCAAACCTGGAATAGGATGATTGCTTGCTGCCTGACAGCTCAGGGCATCTTAATCTACATGTTATTGCCTCCTTTGGTGTAGGCTATTTCCCAATATGACAGTGTTTCTGTACCCTACCCTTTGAAGTATATTATCTTCACCTTGCCTTAGGACAAACTGTGTTAATAAAAAGCAAGGGGTCCAGGGACAAGGGAAGTCTTTAGCTCCTTTAGCTGAAGCTCCTCTGACCCCCCAATGCCTTTCAAAACTATCTTTCAGCCAAAACTGGTTTGTCTCAGGGGATAGAGCATTGGCCTGTGGACTGAAGGGTCCCAGGTTAAATTCCGGTCAAGGGCATGTACCTTGGTTGCAGGCACATCCCCAGTGAGGGGGAAGGGGGGTGTAGGAGACAGCTGATCGATGTTTCTAGTTCTATCCCTCTCTCTTCCTCTCTGTGAAAAAAATCAATAAAATATATTTTAAAATACAACTATCTTTCGTCTTTGGACTCCTACTTCATCTACATACAGCCTTTCTCCAGATTGCTGAACTTCTTAATACTGGGGAAAAGGACCCTGGTAAACGGATGGACAGACAGAGCCCATATGTTTGGGTGGTTGGGTGTGTGAGTGCATGGTTGAGTCAGTGAAAGGGAGAAAGGAAGGGGGTGGAGTGGAGCCTCCAGCCTGAGCTGCCTCCTCTTTTTCTCCCTCCCCAGGACCCTCTCGCCGTAGCGACCTCCAGTCCCTGGGCTACTGTTTGCTGAAGTGGCTCTACGGAAACCTGCCGTGGACAAAATACCTTCCCAACACCGAGGATGTCATGAAGCTGAAACAGAAGTGAGTCCGGGGTCAGCAGAGCCCAGCACGGGCCCAGCACCCATGCAGCTGGGGCAGAAGCTCCGAACCCAACAGGGAACAGATTAGGGAGGCGCTGTCCAGCAGAGCTAAGGCCTCTGCCGTTCTCATTTCTCAGGCGTGCTCTGGCGTCTGTTCCAGCAGACAGAGCGTAGACACGAGCCACGCTGCCTGGGCCAGACTCAGGCCACACACTGCAAGCCTCAGTGTCCTCAGTGAGATGGGGTCCTTTGGCACCCACTGTGGGGGGCTGTGGAAGGGTTCAGGGGAGTCAGGCACACAGCACTCAGCAGACAGCCTGGCCTGTAGAAAATGCTCACCATGCCTTGGACACCATGACTCATTCCTTCCTTCACGGGCTGTGGGCAACCTGAGCAGTTAGGTCTGGGCCCTGCCTCAGCCATCAGACAACACCAGCCGCCCGTGTTCATTTTTTTAAATTTATCTTTATTGTTGAAAGTATTGCAGATGGACCCTTTTTCCCCCAACTGACTTCTATCCCACTCCCACTCCCTCCCCAAGCTTCTACTGCACTATTGTCTGTTCACGGGTTTTACATATACTAGAGGCCCAGTGCATGAATTTGTGCACTGGTAGGGTCTGGCTGGCCCTGCCCCAATTGGGGGGGGGGGGCACCGGGAGCAGGATAGGCCAGGGGGAAGGGCTACAGGCGGCTGGCCAGCTGGCCCCACCCCCTGATCAAACTCCTGTCGAACTCCTGGTCCAGAGAACAATTTGCATATTAGAGTTTTATTATATAGGATGCATATAAATTCTTCGGTTAATCTCTTCGTGCCCCCTCCCTCCCTCTGAAGTACATACTTCGATGTCTCTGGATCTATTTTTGTTTGTCTTCACACTTCCCTTCCTCACCTCTGCACACAAAACCCTTCCTCTCTATAAAAAAAATCAAGGGGCCGAAACCGGTTTGGCTCAGTGGTAGAGCGTCGGTCTGCGGACTGAAGGGTCGCGGGTTCGATTCCGGTGAGGGGCATGTACGTTGGTTGCGGGCACATCCCCAGTAGGGGGTGTGCAAGAGGCGGCTGGTCGATGTTTCTCTCTCAGCGACGTTTCTAACTCTCTATCTCTCTCACTTCCTCTCTGTAAAAATTAATAAAATATATTTTTAAAATAAAATAAAAAAAAATAAAAATAAAAAAATAAAAAAAAAAAAAAAATCAAGGGGTCCTGGGACAAGGGAAGTCTTTAGCCCCAAACAGATCTGCTAGTTCCGGGATTTTTTTTTAGACATTCAGTACCAAGGACAGTGCCCCATTTGGCTGCAAAGGGAAGTGCTGGGGTATGAGGTTCAGCACCAAAGACAGAGGCACCTGTTTGCAAAGGGAAGTTGGAAAGTGCTGCGTGTTCAGCACCACGGACAGGCCATCTGGGCTCAGGGAAGTGAGCAAAGGAGGCTTTGGCCCTCAGCACCAAGGACAGTGAACAGCTGGGCACAAGGAAGTGCTGCAGGTACTGGGGCTGGGACTCAATGAGGTATAGACTTGGGGGCTGAGTCGCCAGAAGGGGCCATCCAGGAGACGTTGGCTAACGATGTCTGAGGTGCAGAAATGAAGTCTAAACGGAGACTCAGACCTCAGATATCTCAGGAATTGTCAGCAGAAGGCCTGGGTCGTGGTGCTGAGTGGGAAGAAGGAAAACGCTCCAGTTTTCCCTCTTCCCACTCAGTGGAGCACCACTGGGTCCGTTATGCTTCTTAGTTTTCAGCGTGCTGTGCCACGGGGTCATCTTGAGTCTTGTTTTATTTGCTCCTTTTATGTCCCCCATCCTCCTCCTCTCAACCGTGGACACCCTCTCACACAGGCTTAACACATGTTCTACTCTTAACGTTCGCTTAAATGTATGTGTATCCTTAAACTTGCATGATGACCGTGGTACTGTGTGTGTTTGACTCGGATAAATGGTATTCTCTGAATCTCGTCTGTTTCTGGCTTTTTTCACGCAGCACTGTGTCCTTCAACTTTAATCTCAACGTGACATGTGCACTGAGTTTACTGCCAGTTTGTATTGGCATGTCTGTGTCCTTGAACAATGTCTGACCTGAGACCTTTCTGTTTGCAGGCCGACGCTCTATCCACTGAGCCAAACCGGTTTCGGCCCTAGTCATCCTTTTAATGTTGATGGTTTCAGTATGAACAGCAGTTCATTCTAGAGCCCCTGGTCTCAACCACAGCGACAAAGGGAGGGCAGGCAAGAAAAGATGATGCTCCTGGGAGAGATGTGGGCGGTGACATAGCTGTCCTTCTGGACCCCGCAGTCACCAAAAGAACCACGAGGGGGCGATGTTGGCACGTGCAGGTTTCCTGGAACCCTGCCTTCTCTTACTGGTGTGTGTGGCCTTTTTCCATTCATTCAACAAACATTGATTCCATTGCTTGTACATCCCAGTTCTTGACAGAATGAATGACCAAAGAACAAAGAAGGGACAGGGTGGTGCCCCAAGACTCCGGTGCGTGAAGCCCCCACTGGGAAAGCACAGATAGGACTCAGGATCGGTCCCTGCTCTTGAGGCTGTGAACTGGGCAGGAAAGCCCCACGGACACTGACAGCGACAGGCTGTTGTGGGAGGAGTGCTCTTTCGGGCCGTCACTCACTGTCTCATTCATTCCTTCACCACACACATCCTGCCGCTGCAGGAGAACGAGGCCAGACCCAGCCCTTCCTGTACACGTGCCCTGCCAGTTGCTGTAGGGATCAGCCTCCTCTGCCTAGGTGGGGGAGGTGGGGGCCTGAAGCTTCCCCCGAGACCAGCCCTTGAGCTGTGTCCCGAAGGGGGAGCAGCCACTGTGTGGGGTCAAGGTGGGCAAAGGCCGTCCAGGGCAGAGGGAGCATTTTGTGCAGAGACTAGAAGATGCAGGTGGATGTTTGAGCTTTTTGGGGGACTAGAAAAAGTTTGGGGACATCTGTTATACTGTCAACAATAAGTAAGTTATTAATATGTGTGTGTGTTTATTTATTTATTTTTTTTACAGAGAGGAAGAGAGAGAGAGATAGAGAGTTAGAAATGTCGATAAGAGAGAATCATCGACCAGCTGCCTCTTGCACACCCCCTACTGGGGATGTGCCCGCAACCAAGGTACATGCCCTTGACCGGAGTCGAACCTGGGACCTTTCAGTCCGCAGACCGACGCTCTATCCACTGAGCCAAACCGGTGCCGGTGTGTGTGTGTTTATATACACACACTGAGTGGCCAGATTATTATGATCTCTGAAGGCATAATAATCTGGCCACTCAATGTATATCTTATATAATAAAAGGCTAATATGAAAATTGTCCCCTTGACCAGGAGTTTGACCAGCAGGCAGGCCGGCCAACCGCCCATGTCCTCTCCCCCTGGCCAGACCCCACCCATGCTTGAATTCATGCACTGGGCCTCTAAATACATACACACACACACACACACACACTGACACACTGAATGGCCAGATTATTATGCATTCATAATAATGTGTTCACTCAGTATGTGTGTGTCACATATACACACATGTATATGGCTAGAGCTTGAGATGGAGGGAGGCAAGCAGAGAGACAAGGTCAGAGGAGCCGGCATGCATGCCAGGAGCTTTCCTGGGGAGTCCAGGAGGGCTGTGGGCATGGAGGGACGGGGGCGGCCCTGGGTATAGAAAGACTGGGGCCTGCACAGGAGGCTGGGGAGGAGGCTGAGGTCCAGGTAGGGGATGAGGCCTGAGCTGGGCCCAAAGCCATGCACAGAGGGGTTGGGGCCTTCTGGGCCGTGAGGGAAGGAAGGGCAGTGCCCAGTAGCCGGGTACACACCGGGGAGCCAGCCAGGGGTCCGGGCCCGTGAAGGTACAGTGCCCAGAGCACAGGACGTGGGAGAGTTTCCATTTTTCCCAAGTGGTCCGAGGGGTGGGGGGGAGGGTATTTATATATGTGCACGTGTACAAATGTTTGTGTGTGAGTAATAGTCTTCGTTACTCACAGATTTCATATTTGTGAATTTGCATGTTCTCTAAAATGTATTTGTAACTCCAAAATCAAACCTTGCAGTGTTTTCGTGGTCCTTCTCAGACACACGCTTTGTGGAGGGAAAATATTTTTTAAATACATTTTTAATGATTTTTAGAGAGAGTGGAAGGGAGAGGGAGAGAGAGAAAATCAATGTGAGAGAGAAACCACTTTTGGTTGCCTCCTGCATGCACCCCCAAACCAGGGATCAAACCCACAACCTGCGTATGTGCCCTGGCGAGGAGCCAGCCGGCAACCTTTTGGTTTCCGGGGCAATGCCCAACCAGCCGCCGCACCGGCCAGGGCTCAGAGTGGCGGACACGGGGAGTCGCCTGCCAGCCGTGCTCCCTGCTGAGGTGGAAGGCAGCGCCGCTCCGCCCTCGGGCTCAGTGCTCGCACATGTGCTCAGTGCAGCGGCGTCCTGCATGAGGCTTGTTTGATGCCACATGTCCCACCCTCCATGCTTCCTGTTGGTGATTTCTCTGTTCAGAGTGGCCCCACGCGTAGTGCTGAAGTGCTGTCCCGTGTTGCTCAGCGCAAGGAGGCACAGAGAAAGCACATGTGTGAGTTAGATGAGCTTCCTGCAGGCACAGTGAGCTCCCTGTGCGTCAATCCACGTGATAGTGAGCGAGGTGGGTCTAAATCCCAAAAACAAGGGGGTGCAGCATCCATCAGTGGATGAAGATGTTGTGACCAGAGGCTCGTCGGAACCTAATGCTGTGTTTCCCCTCGAAGCCGATTCAGAATGTGCTCACTCAGTGTTCGAGGCGACTCTGTAGGCCACAGCTACCGCGGATAACCAGTCGACTGTACAGCGATGGGGCGTTTTGTCTAAAAGGCTGCTCTCACCAGGACCGGTTTGGCTCAGCGGATAGAACATCGGCCTGCGGACTGAAAGGTCCCGGGTTCGATTCCGGTCAAGGGCATATACCTTGGTTGCGGGCACATCCCCAGTGGGGGGTGTGCAAGAAGCAGCTGGTCGATGTTTCTCTCTCATCGACGTTTCTAACTCTCTGTCCCTCTCAATTTCTCTCTGTGTAAAATCAATAAAATATATTTTAAAAAATAAACAAATAAAATAAAAGGCTGCTCTTAGTGTTTTCCCTGCTAGGAGCATGCCAACACTTCCCTTTCCCCTCTTGTTCTTCTTCTTTAAAACATATGTTTTTCTATTTATTTCAAAGAGAGGAAGGGAGGAGGAGAGAGGAATAGAAATATCAATGATGAGAGAGAATCATGGATCAGCTGCCTCCTGCATGTCCCCTACTGGGGATCGAGACTGCAACCTGGACATGTGCCCTGACTGGGAATTGAACCATAACCTCCTGGTTCATGGGATAATGTCTAACCACTGAGCCACACTGACAGTGTACAAATATATAAAATAAAAGGGCTTCTCTCACTTCCCCCGAAAAACCTGTGCATGTACCTCTGTCCCGTCAGGTTCCTGAGCACCCCAGTGGCCCTCGTGGGACACTGCTGTCACTGGATTCGGCCCTCAGGTATGTCCCAAAGGGGAGGAAGGGGGGCGCTGTGGCAGGACCGGGGCCTTGGATCCAGGTGGATTTGCCTCCCTTTCACACCCCTCTATTGTCTCCGAGTCTTTCAAATTGCGTGTGTCTGTACGCTCATTGTAGAAAAACAAAAATCTCTCCCCAAAATTCGCAAGTGTGTCTGAATAATAGCCACACACACACAGTTACGTGATTTTTTTTTTTATGAAATCATGTTCTATATATTGCTCTCTAACCTGATTTTTTTTTTCATGTAAGAAGTATACCTTGGAGATTTTCTGTGTCAGTATTTGTAGAATTTTTAAAAATATATTTTTATTGATTTGAGAGAGGGAGAGAGAGGGAGAGAAAGATAGAAACATCAATAATGAGAGAGAATCACTGATTGGCTGCCTCCTGCAAGCTCCCTACTGGAGATCAAGCCTGCAACCCGGGCATGTGCCCTTGGCTGGGATCAAACCCAGGACCCTTCAGTCCAAAGATCAGTGCTCGCCGAAACCGGTTTGGCTCAGTGGATAGAGCGTTGGCCTGCAGATTGAAGGGTCCCAGGTTAAATTCCGGTCTAGGGCATGTACCTTGGTTGCGGGCACATCCCCAGTAAGGGGTGTGCAAGAGGCAGCTGGTCGATGATTCTCTCTCATCGATGTTTCTAACTCTCTATCCCTCTCTCTTCCTCTTTGTAAAAAAATTTTTAAAAAATGTATTAAAAAAAAAAACACAAAAAGATCAGTGCTCTATCCACTGAACAAAACTGGCTAGGGCAAGTCAGCATTTTTTTTTTTAGGTTTTTATTTTTTTTATTTCTTTTATATAAATCTTTATTGTTCATATTATTACAAATGTTCCTCATTTCCGCCCCCCCCATTGCTCCCCTCCTCCAGGTTCCCACCCCACCCTCTGCCTTTTCCCCACCCCCCATTGTCCTCATCCATAGGTGCACAGTTTATGTTCAGTCTCTTCCCGCACCCCCCTCTCCCCTTTTCCCTGAGAATCGTTAGTCCACTCCCCTTCCATACCTCTGATTCTATTAAGTCAGCATTTTTTTTAAAATATGTTTTTATTGCTTTTAGAGAGAGGAAGGGGGGGAGAGAGAGAAACATTGATGTGAGAGAGACACATCCAATGGTTGCCTCCTGACCAAGGCCAGGGCTGGAACCTGCTGCCCAAGGTATGTGCCCTTGACCAGGAATTGAACCCACAATTGGCTCAGCGGATAGAGCGTCAGCCTGCGGACTGAGGGGTCCCAGGTTCGATTCCTGTCAAGGGCATGTACCTTGATTGCGGGCACATCCCCAGTAGGGGGCATGCAGGAGGCAGTTGATGGATGTTTCTCTCTCATCAATGTTTCTAGCTCTCTATCCCTCTCCCTTCCTCTCTGTAAAAAATCAATAAAATATATTTTTTTAAAAAGAGGACTGCGAACCTCACCTGAAACTCAAGCTGCAGCATCCCTAGGAGGAGCCTGGGCGCGGCCACGCCCCTCCGTTGGCCGGTCTGTGGCCTGTGGCTGTTTTTGTGCGAGAGCAGCCGAGCTGAGTCCTTGCAGACCCAGACCCCCGGGCGCACAGGGCCAAAGGCGTTTGCTGTCTGGACATGACGGCAGACGTTCGCTGTTACAGACGCGCTAAACGCCGGCAGGCGGCATGGCCCCGGTCGCTGAGATCCGCGTGGAGACAGTGCAGGCGGGCAGGGGTAGGGCTCAGATGGAACAGGCTGGCTGTGAGTTGACAGTGTGGAGACCGGGTGATGGGATCGAGGTGTTCACAATACTGTCTTCCTGCTGTTCACAATACTGTCTTCCTGCTGGCTCTGTGCACTGCTCTGTGCGCCCCTCGGCTTTTCGGACGTTTTCCAAAAAAAATGGCGGGGGGAGAGGGCCAGGGTCCAAGTGCCTGTGGCAGTGCCAGGCACAGAGGCAGCAGCCCTGGGTGGGGGTGGGGGTGGGGATGGGGAGGGACCTCTGGGCACAGCTCCCCGTCCCGGTCGGCCCCTCTCACCTCTCCCTGGCGCTGTCTTGCCCACAGAGACGCTGCAGGAATACCTGAAGGTGGTGCTGGCTCTCAAGTACGAGGAGAAGCCGCCCTACGCCTCGCTGCGAAGCAGCCTGCAGGCCCTGCTCCAGGATCTGCACGTGTCGGCCTATGACCCCATCGACCTCCGGGTGACGCCGTAGTGGGTTCCGGCGGGAAGAGCCTGTGAGTCCCCTCCCCATACCCCCCCCCCAGCCCCGAGTCCCAGGGCCGACTTCCCAGCCACGTGCTGCGTCTCTCCACAAGGTGCTTGAACTTTCCAAACCCCGCCCCCCCCGCCCCCATCACAACTAACGAAACCCCACCCTTTAGAAAGAGGGGGGCTGATCGACTACTGTAACTAGAAAATTCCAAGGGGAAGCGTTAAGCGCGCTGGATCAGAGCCTAGAAAGTAGCATCGAGATCGTATCTGCCTCTGTCTCTCTGTCCATCCCCTTTCCTCCCTCGGTTCCTGCTTCATTTGAGTCGGCTCCCTTGTCCCCCACACAGAACCTCGCTGGCTCTGTGCACTGCTCTGTGCGCCCCTCGGCTTGTCTCACAGCCCCTCCTGCAAGCGGGAACGTCCATGCTCATGGCAGCCCCGCGGCCTGCTGTGCGGACGCAGGGTGCTGTCCATAGCCTGGGCCACCTCTGCTCGGCCTCCTGGGGTTTTGTTACCATGTGCACATCCTGGCGAGCACCTGAGTCCGTGACGATTGCATCGCCCTGTCTGTACCTGTCTGCCCCCCATTTGTGCATGTGACAGTGTCCGGGAACTTGGGGGAGGTCAAAGCTGAGCCAGACTCGCTGGACAGTTTGGCCAGGCTGCATGGGCGGCCTGTGGAGGGGCCGCCCGGGTCCTCTCCCCTCGGGGCTGACCGTGCCTCCACGCAGGCTCTCCATCGGAGCGAGGGGCCGTTTTAAAAAGCTTTTAACTTTTTAAAATACATATTTATAGATTTTATTTTATTTTTTTAATTTTTTTTTTATATTTTATTGATTTTTCACAGAGAGGAAGAGAGAGAGCTAGAGAGTTAGAAACATCGATGAGAGAGAATCATCGATCAGCAGCCTCCTGCACACCCCCCACTGGGGATGTGCCCGCAACCAAGGAACATGCCCTTGACCAGAATCGAACCCGGGACCTTTTAGTCCGCAGGCCAACGCTCTATCCACTGAGCCAAACCGGTCCCGGCCATATTTATAGATTTTAGAGAGAAAGGGAGAGGGAGAGAGAGAGGGAGAGAGAGGGACATCCATGATGAGAGAGAATCATTGATCGGCTGCCTCCTGCACGCCCCCTACTGTGGATGGAGCCTGCAACCTGGCATGTGCCCTGACTGGAACGGATCCAGTGACCTCCTGGTTCATAGGTCAGCTCTCAACCACTGAGCCACGCTGTCCAGGCTCTGCAGGCATTCCTAGTTGTCACCACCGGGGAGAGGGTGCTCCTGGCATCTGGTGGGTGGAGGCTGGGAGTAACGGGTGCGCCTCCTCCCATTTCCGCTGAAATGAGCTATAACCACGAGCATAACAACTCTCTGCTTACGGCGGCTCCTCGCCTTGGCCTGCGTGCCTGACACCCCCTGCCCCGGCCACTCCGCCAGCCACACTGGCCTCCCCTCAGATTCTAGCCGAGGCGGAGCTTGATCCCACCCCTCGGCCTCTGCCTAGCACTGCCATGGTCTGGAATGCTTTTCCCCTTCAGTTTTTCTCAGATCCTGCCCTCCCCCCCCCACCCCTGTTTGCCCCTCCTTGAAGTTCCTCCTCACCTCCTCTCTGATCACATGGCCTGTTTTCTGCGCAGCCCCCGCCCCTCTGGAGGGAAGTGTCTGATCTGTAGTGGCCCCGCCCCCTCCTCCCAGCTGTGAGCCCGCAGCGGCCTCCCCAGGCCCAGGGCGGCCCTGAGTGCAGGAGACACTCACTGCCTTTCCCATTGTCTTCCAGAACTGTCAACGAACGCCCAGTTTGAAATAGGGGGGGGAAATGGGGAGAAGAAATGTGAAGTCCAGGCCTGCTGTAGATAAGCTTCTAGAAAGACCCCTCGGACGTGCATTCCCGCTGCTTCTGTAGGTGACGCTGCTGTCCAGCCAGGTTGGCGGGGAACACGGGAACTCGCAGTTAGGCTCCAGGAACCGTGAACGGCCTCCTCCGCCGGCCCTCCCTCACAGCCGCATCCCCCGCAGCCGCTGGGGTGGTGAGCGGAGAAGACCCTCAGCTAGGGGACGGGTCCCTCAGAGGGACCTTCCTACCATTAGACCCTCCGTGCTTTGGTAATAAATTGTTTCACGGGAGCTTGGAGAGTCGAGTGTCTGCAAAAGATGTTCCTTTTGGGAAAGGTTCACTCCCTTTTTCTTCTCATTCACCCATCCCTTCAACCTTTCATCCACATCTACCCTTTCATTCATCTGTCCAAACTTCATGGAGCCACCCATCCATCCATCCATCCAGCCATCCATCCATCCTTCCTCCCTTCCATCCATCCATGTACAGATGCTTCTCAACTTACAATGGAACCACATCCCAGTAAATCCATTGTAAGTGGAAGATATTGTAAGTTGAAAATGCACTAATGGCCAGGACCGGTTTGGCTCAATGGAGAGAGCGTCGGCTTGGGGACTGAAGGGTCCCGGGTTCGATTCCGGTCAAGGGCATGTACCTTGGTTGCGGGCATATCCCCGGTGGGGAGGTGAGCAAGAGGCAGCTGATCGATGACTCTCTCTCATCGATGTTTCTAACTCTCTATCTCTCTCCCTTCCTCTCTGTATAAAATCAATAAAAAATATATTTTAAAAAAAAGAAAGAAAATGCACTAATAGCCCTGGCTGGTTTGGCTCAGTGAATAAAGCATTGGCCTTAGCACTGAAAGGTCCCAGGTTCGATTCCAGTCAAGGGTATGTACCTTGGTTACAGGCACATCCTCCGTAGGAGGTGTGCAGGAGGCAGCTGATCAATGTTTCTCTCTCATCAATGTTTCTGACTCTATCCCTCTCTCTTCCTCTCTGTAAAAAATCAATAAAATATATTTTAAAAAAGAAATAGAAAGAAATAAAATACACTAATGGCCCTGGCCAGGTGGTTCAGTTGGTTAGAGTGTCATCCTGACACGCCAAGGTTTCGGTTTTAATCCCTGGTCTGAGCACATACAGCAATGGACCAATGAATGCATAAATAAGTGGAACAACAAATCTCACTCTCTAAAATCAATCAATAAGAATATTTTTGAATGTACATAATGGACTCAGACACAGACCTATACCTTCCATAAAAATTAACTCAAATGCAAAACTGTAAAACTTCTAGAAGAAAAGATAGAAGAAAAACCTATTTGACTTTGGGTTTGGTAAAAAGAGAGAAGCCCAGCCTGTGTGGCTCAGTGGTTGAGCGTCAATCCATGAACCAAGAGGTCACGGTTCGATTCCAGTCAGGACACATCCCTCGGTTGCTGGCTTGATTCCCAGTGTGGGGCATGCAGGAGGCAGCCAATCAGTGATTCTCATCATTAACGTTTCTTTCTCTCTTCCTCTCCCTTCCTCTCTGAAATCAATAAAAACATATTAGAGAGAGAGAGGCTCCGTAGTCCTGATGCAGACAAAGCAAATTGTGCATGAAAGATGGAATCACCGCACACAGAATCTGAAGAGCAGCTTTCCACACAGAGTTGTTACCTTCATGCCAATGCCTGTGCACTGAGTTGGTGCATCGTGCCCATGTTTTCTCACTAACGGAAACCAGGGGGGAAACGAAGTGGACAGTCAGTGGGAAAGAGAACAAGATCAGTCGGATGTGAGCACTGTGGAAACGAATTGCCAAGTCAACGGAACACAGGCTTTGACGGCAAGGAATCTTATAAGCAAATCCTGCAAAAAAGAAACCGTTATGGAGAACCAAAGCCGAAGGGACATGTAATGAAAGGAAGAGTGTGCAGTGAGATGACCTACCTACCATTCCGTTCAGACAACCCTCGAAGGAGTTCTGTGGTGAAATAGCCAACCTGGGCTTCCAGGAAGCTGGCTCAGAGAGGCCCGGGTGCAGAGGCAGTGCCCCAGGGACGGTCCCTGGGAGGGGAGGGGAGAAGGGAACTGCAGCGCAGCCCAATGCCAGCCTCATCCGGGCCTTCATGGCACCCTGGAGCTGGAACCACCCCGTGGAGTGGCCGAACCCTTCTTCCCCCGGAGCTGGCTTCCCTGGGGAGAGGTGTGGCCTCAGTGTGGTGCTCTGCCATGCGCGCATGCCTGCCTGGAGCTTTACCTAATTATTGCCTCAGCGCCCCACAACAAACACTCAAGTCAGGTGTTTTTAAAAATATATAATTTCATTGATTTCAGTGAGCAAGGGAGAGAGAAACATCAATGATGAGAATGGCTGATCGGCTGCCTCCTGCACACCCCCCACTGGGGATGGAGCTCACAACCGGTGCATGCGCCCTGACTGAGAACAGTGACCTCCTGTTCATAGGTGGATGCTCAGCCACTGAGCCACACCGGCCGGGGTCCAGCTAGGGTTACTGTGTGTGTGGGTGTGTGTGTTACAGAGGGTGACTGGGAAGTAGAGTGACTTGCTCAGACTCCTGCTCGTAGTTGGAGACGGGCTGAAATTTGAGGCCACTTCTGCCCATCACGGCACCAGTGGGACACGCCTGTCGTCAGCTAATTCTTGGGATTGTCCCTGATGTTTCCCCTCCCAGAGAGCCCTGGCCCTCCAGCCAGAGGTCGCCGGAGCTGGGGCCCGTTACGTGCGGATCTTGATCTCTGCATACTCGGTGCTGGTGGTCTCCGGGGCGGGCGGCTCCCCCAGCTTCCGGCCCTGGAAGCTGAGGGTGGCGTAGTGGAGTTCCAGCTCCTCCCCCAGGGCGGGGGCGGGGGCGGCGGGGGACGCCGCTGGGGGCGGGTGGCCCAGCTGGCTTCCTGGCAGACACCCACGCTGGTTCCCCTGAGTGGAGGGGGGAGAGGCGGTCAGATTAGGATGATGGGGGCTGGGAGTCAGCCTGGAGGGCCCACCGCTAACCTGGAAATTGAGCAAATTAGTCTTTCACCTGCTCATCCCACAGACATCGGTAAAGCCCCATTCACTGAGTCAGTCAGCAGATATTTTAGAGAAGCGATGCCTGGCCCTTGGTGATGGATCGCCAGCCTCCCTGATTCCTCACCAGAGTCCACTAGGG